GAGGCCCGCGCTTTAGCCGCTGGAGAGCTCCGCGCCCCGCCGGGAGGGCGACCAGTCCCGCTGGGGCCCGGCGCGCCTAGCGTCCTCCCCGACGCCCTGGGCGCGCGCCGCGGTGAGGGGAACTGGGACGCGAGCCGCGGCTGCGGCCGTTCGTCGCCCTCCCCAGGGGCTGGGCGCCTTTGTGCGCGGGGCGCGCCGCCGCCGCGGCCAGCCCAGGATGCTGCAGCCGCCGCCGCCGCCTCCCCCTCCACCGCCGCCGCCCGCTCCCCGCCTTCCCGGCCGGCCCGGAGGCTGCAGCTGAAAGCCGATCCGGCTGAGCTCATCCCCGAAGGCCACTAATCCAATAGCTGAGGAAGGCGCGGCCGCCGGGCACGCCCCTTCCCCCTCCATCCCGCGCCCCGGCCCATCCCCGCTCGGGCCGCCACCTTCGCGAGGCTGCCCGCTGGCGGGTGAGGGACGTGGAGTCAGCCCGGTACCCCTCGGCCGAGGCGGCGGCGCGGTCGCCATTCACTCGCCTGCGCCACGCACTCATTCATGCGCGAGGGTCCTCCCCCCTCCCCCCATTCATTCAAGCGCGCCTGGAGCGCCCGGGTGGGTGGGTGCCCTTGAGGGGGAGGAGACAGCTACAGCCACTCCGCAGATTTGGTGCCTTTACCTAAAACATGTTAGAAAAAGCAGCTGGGGAAAGAGGGTGGTTTAATAGCCCCTTCCTCAGACACACATGTCACACTTTATTTTAAAAATCAGGCTCCAATTCATCTTTTTAAAGTCCAATTTCATATTCACCTGCTTCCCGGAGCCTTACCAGCCCACCCGAAGCGCAGTGAGGTCTGTCTCCGTTCCGCTGTCTATGGGCGCGCATGGTGGGCGGCTTTCTAACCTGTCGGAGCACAGCGACAAGAAGAGGGCGTGGCCAGAGCAGAGGCGCCGAGGTGCTGGGGGGATCTGCTCTTCTTGGAGAAAGTAAAAGTTGCACCTAGACTTCCAGAGTTGCCTTTGGTCTCTTTCCAGAGTCACCAGCTGACCATGTCACCCGTGGGTGGCACAGACAGCTAAATGTTCTGCTAACTGCAGGGTGAAGGTTCTTACCCACCCAGATACTTCGGAAGAAAGGTAATCTGAAAGATCAGCGGTGGAAACCCTACTGAGCACCATGTACTCTGACACACAGTGGGGCCACCATGAGTAACAGCTGACTCTTCGTATGTTTTGCTTTGGTTTTCTGGTAGAAGGAGCTCTGGTGGCATAGTGGGCTACACTCGGGCTGCTTGCTGACCACAACAAGGTCACCAGCTGGAAACCCACAGGGCAGCTCTACCCACTATGAGTTGGAATCAACCTGATGGCTGTGAGTTTGCGTTATGGTGTGTGTGTGTGTGTGTG